TCTGCAACAGATTACTTTTCAAACGAAAATTTTAGCCAAAATGGTTTAGTCACTCCTGAGACTCTGAAATTTGGCAGGAAGATGAGTTTTGCACTAGGGGGTTGCTTTCTACTATTCCTGTGAAATCTGCTCACATTTGTCATTGGAAAATTAACTTCAAAAATTTATATTATATAAAGACATATTTTTCAATGAGCATTCTCCAGCTTCAGACTTCTACCAGGCAGGAAATTAGAGATCTGTGAATGCGGATCAGACAAATCTGGGTATGTTATATTCTTCCATTTTGCAAGGAAATGATGGAATCTACTTTTAGAATTTCTTTTTCAATCACACATAACTTTTTTTACAGTAACTTTAATTACTGTATAACAAAATTATTTATAAGAACATCGTGCGGGACTATGTTTAAGCCTTCATAAAGTCATAACAGATCACATGCATTGTTTCCCTCCTAGTAGTTAGTCTGTCATAAAATGGAAATGAGGCAATTTTGCTATAGTATCTTCTCAAAAATCCACCTTGATAATTCCCCACCACTTTATTATTCCCTCTATAATTATAAATTATTTATTTAACAATCTTGGTGTTTATTTAGTTATATTGTTATTTTTCTACTATCAAATTTAGGCTGACTAGTCTGTAAATCTCTATGTCTCCACTTGATCCCCTTTTCTATAAAACCAAAAAAACCAAACCCAAAATCTTGCTGTTTTCTTACCCATCTACCTGGATTTATCAAACATAACTTCCACTAGCTCCGAAACACTGCAAAACCTAACATTTAAAATATTTCAATAACCTTCCTTCCATATTCTGGTTTGTGTTTATAACCCCATGATCTTACTTGTAATGTGGGATGTAATTTCATTTTTTTGATAACTGGAGCAAACAAAAGAGCATGTAACCTATCCCTCTTATTCGCTATTTGCTCAGTTTACACAGTAAACTATGAATTATTACTTGCCTTCATGCCTTCAGCTCTCTCCTACTACTAAAGTATTCAGAGATATTTTTTCTTCTTGTTTTCATGTCTTTTTTTTTTTTCAGTTGAAACTGTTAAGAAAAGACAAAAGCAAGTATCTTTTTGCATTTGAACTTCTTATGTGTAAGGGGCTCATGTGTTGTCAATATGCTCCATCTGGCGGAAGAGCACACAGGTTTAAGAGCCACCCACCAAAGGGATATGAAAAGGCATCTCCAGCTCAAAGAATTCCAAACTGCTGATCCCATACAAACTCTGCATTAATGCCACAATCCAGGAATACTTTATAATCAACCACTGTCCTCCCCCGTTCAAAACAGTCACAGACCTACTCCATATAGTTCCATTTACATGTTATATTGCAATTTCATAATTTTTAAGTCTCTCCTACAAACAATAAGTCTGATTTCCTACAGAAACTAAGTGATGAAATCACATATGTGTGCATGTGAGCAATTTTTACCCTATTTGGCGAAGAGGTAGACACCTCAAAGGAGCTGAATTTCTAGAAGTGTGGCACAAGTTGTTGGCAGGGATTGGCAGGTCCTGTTACCACCCTGCAGGGAAGGGAAGGCAGGGAGAGCATTGTCCTTTTCTGCCTTGGCCACCCACTATACATGGGTTATCTAACCAGATAATATACACATACCTACAAACCAGCTGCAACAACTTTTTTCCCCATTGTCAGGCTGGATAAAAATATAGACTTGAAAGTGATATGAATGCATTGTAATGACTTTTGGGATATTTCAAGGAGTTGAAGAGGAGTTATTACTGGAAGTCTTAAAGGCAGGGTAAATTCAGGGAAATACTGAAGTAGGAAACTATGAGGAGAAGTCATAGGGAATATGAAGGACCTGAAGGAGAAACAACTGACATGAATCTAGGCCTTATTAGCTCCTTCAAACAGAAAACTTTTGAAATGGAAAAATGTACTGTTCTTCATCTAAAACTGAAGTTCACAGGAAGAAGCACTCAGCTTAGAATTTATAGAAGGAGAAAAAAACAACATCTCTAACTATTCACCAAGATGCAAAACCAGAATTCCCAAATGTGATTTTTTTGTGTAAGAATTGATAAGCATATAAAGTTAGACATAATTCAGAAAATTCTTTTGCAACCTTAACAGTACTGTTTACTGCCAAGTGAACATCAGTCATCTGTATCAAGCTTTATTTCACATGTAGTGGCTCATTTATTCAGGAAAAATTAAATTTCTATTATTTGATGACGATTTCTGTTTCTCATTATTGGCTGCATTTCACCATACAGCACCATCTGGCTCTATGAAATCTCTTTCAGTACAATAAGCTGAGGCAGATACTGTACTACACTATGGGTATTAGTGTTGGTTATTTCCCGACTAGTCTGTAACTCTGAGGTCTAAGAAATAAAATCATATAGGTGGTAGGCATATACCTGAACATTTATACCACTTATTTGAAGTGGAGAGGCTGTGCAGCTGTAAGCCAGTCCCATTTAATGTGAAATCCTAATGGGTACTCAGCACATTGCAGAGGCAGTGGTAAAGGGTATAGTCACTGAAATTCTGATAAATCCTCACCTACATAATATCAGCCTTTCCTCTGACATTTAATAAACGTTTCCTGGGCTCTTCCAACATTTAAAATTCATATGTACATTTAGGTACATACATACTTAGAATTTTGTATTAACAGATCACGTATCATCTTCCATCTGTTAATTTCAAGGTACCTCACAAATATTCATCAGAGCTTTGCCAATTACAAGGTGTTTTCATTAGAGCTATGCAAAAGAATAATTTTTTGTGTTTTAACAAATCTGTCTCCTTGATAAAATTTGATGTAAAATTATCACTAGGACTCAATTTTACTATTATTTTACAGATAATCAAATTTTCATTAAAATGCTAAAATTTACAGTTTTTCTATCTAAAGAGTAAAATACAGGTAAAACCAATTAAAAACAATTGAAGTGAGCACAGAAATAAAAGTAAAATAAAATTTTAAAAAAATAAGAGTTTACCACAGCAGAAAGAGGAATGATCCAGGATTAAAGCAATGGAATTGGAGCCCTTGGACAATCACACACATGGATTATCTAATGAATTAGTACACAGATTTGGATTCAGATTATGGTTTTTGCACCAGTACAATCTTCCTGTGTCATCATTTGAGCCTACTCAGCAGCTAAATGCCCCGCAGTCACTCACCCACCCTCCCCCCACTTGGGAATGGGGAGGGAATCGGAGGGACAAAGGGAGACTCGCGGGTTGAGATAAAAACAGTTTAATAACAGTGACAGAATAACACGCTGACAGCGGCATCAACAGGTAATGTACAATACAGCTGCTCACCACCCACTGACCAACACCCACCTGCTCCCAGCTGGTGATCCCCAACACCAAGGCCCCACAGCCACACTCACAGAAGTGAGAGCCCCTCCCTGCCCACTCCTGCCTTTATATAGTGAGCACAGTGTCACATGACACGGACTATCGGCCAATCGGGGCCCAGCCCTCCAGCTGTGCTCCCCCCGCCCCCGCACACAGGTGAGGGCACTGGGACCTGGGGAGCCCCTGGGGTCTCAGGGGGCTGCAGCTCCTTCCGCTGCCAGACCAACGGGAACTCTAGGCCAGCCCCAACCAGGACATCCTTTCTGACCTGGAACAAGTTATGGGAGCTCTCTGAAACAGATGATCACATACAAAATGATGAGATAGTCCTTTTCTGTCTCCGAGGTCTATGTGAGAGATGATGTGGAAATGACCTGCTACTATAGTCAAGTTACTGCAGTACTGTAACTTTTGCAACGGATTATAATATCTTTTACAGTAGAGCCAGCAGAAAACTCATGTTAAATTTGCTGATGGCATACTGAATAATTTACTAATATAGAAGTACAAAGAAAGACATATTGAATTTGTTGTAACTTTATGATAAATGAGGGAAGTTAGAAATTTTCTTCTGACAACTTTTTAAACATTAGAAGGATAGGTAATGTATACACCTTTGTGTATGGGAAGTATAGAAAAGTATCACTTTATAAGTGTCTTTTACCTGTACAACCCCAGGTAAGACTATATGAGAATTTTCCTAGGTCTTCAGATATTTTTCTGTTGTTTCCATTGGCTTTTGTGCACCAAATTGCAGATGAACCTCACTCTTATCTTCCTCTTCTTGGTCATACCACATCAAAGTTCTCATTCTTTTTAAAACTGCATGATTGAAACATTATATCTTTATTTATCTATTCAGCATGAAGCTTGGGATCACAGGGTAGAATCAGTGCAGATTAAGGCATTAAAGCCAAACCTCCAGATGATGATTCAAACTACAGTCCTTAACTAGAAATTGCTGAAGTTCAGTTGGGAATCTGAATTCTAATTTTCACAATTTTATTTGATGATTTCTAGACAAAAAAAGAAAAAAGAGACACCAATAATGTCTCATCTATAGTCACAACTGGATGTCTCCATGGCTTAATTCCAGATCCTGCAAATCACTGAGTGCTCTTAATTCACAGTAGAACCAACAGGTTTCAGGAATTGCTTGGCCTCTTGCAAGAATATTCCCTTTTTTAAGCTAATAAATGTTACACAGTATTTTACATTATTGGTAAACCTTAAACACATATTTTCTTAAAATTGTAAGTCTACTGTGTAGCAGTTTAAAAATGTATTCAGCATTTAAATAGTTTTATTTTTCCTTTACCCTTTAAAAATATATATATATTATATATATTATATATATATTATATATATTATAGATTGACTAAACAACTTCATAGAAATCATCTTTCTGGAACAGTAAACCACCATCATAACACAACTCAGTAACAGGCTTGCACAAATAGTGTAATAAATCTATAGATACTACATCACTTCCTTTTATTGTGCAGTTCCTAGAGTACAGGAAAATAAACTGTGATGTGGAGTTCACCATATGCATATGCAGTAGTAAATGGAATTTTTGATGCTTTGATAGTAATTCCACCTCATTTTTACTAAACTGAGAAAGAGGATGTTGCTTACCTTTGTCTCAATTTGTTTGGTGTCTAGATTCTGAAAAAGCAGCTTTACTCTTGTTTTCCCATCATCTGAAGAACCTTTGAGCTGAGAGAATTTATACCTCCACAGCACATTCTAAAGAGTGAGAAATTTGATTAAGGATTCTGTTACACACTATTACCTAGAACTACAGATTGATGATCAACGATTATGTATTAAGATAAAGCATTAGGGCAATAAACATTGCACATGATAACATGGCATCTTTACTACTGTTGGCAAATCCTAAATTGACAAGGATGTTTTAATAGTTATCAAGATACTTTTAAAAACAAATATTAGGAAATTATTTTTGAATACAATGTAATTTTCTGTATTTATCTGAATGTTTTCTATTGATTGCTTGAAAATGTGTAAGTAAAAAAACCACAAGATAACAACTTGGATCTGGACTTCCTGTTGATGTTTCCTTAATGCCTGTAATCTTAATGAAAATTCTATTCAGATGTTGAAATGTGATTCAGCCCCTGGACACTGCTGAGGAAACACAATAAGTTCACTACGTCTTATTTTCCCATAAACCTCATTTCTAAATATTTTTTCATGTAGACCAGTGTTAGCAGTGGTCTTCAGAACCCCACTCATAGTTTGAAAGGGAGTGCCCTATAAATAAAAAAGTGTTTACAGAAGACACAAAAAGCCTGATTCCATCTCCTGGTTCCCTGCAGACATAAATGTCATTGACTTCCTAAACAAATATAACAGATGAAGAAAAACCCAACTAAGCTACAGCATTGTGATGGTGCTTAAACTTTACATTCATGAACAGGTTTTAACTGGCTCCAGAGGGACTAATTAGACCACCTGAAAAGTATTTAAAGCTTAAATGAGTTTGGATCTAAATAGGATAGAAGAATATTCACAATAAAATATATCTGCTAGGGTGGAGGTGAAACAAGAACTTAGGAACACTTTAGCAATAATAGGCATTGCTGGAGCCATCATCTCTCTCAACAGTTGACACAGAGTGGAAAAGAAGAGAAGTAGATGGGTCTGGAAGGTGGAAGAAAATGCGCACTTTGGGATCCCTTTATGTTGGATGAACATCTGGAAGCACAGGATGGGGAAAATGAACCAACCAAGCCAACAAGATAAGAATCTCTGCAATCAGATATAAAGGAGCTGCAGGACACAAGAGTATCTTTGTGATGGGCCCAAAACGGTAAAAACTGAATGAGTTAAGCCCATGATGAGCCTCGAAAAGAACATGTGAAAAATGAAGTAATTCTTTCAAATAAGTTTAAGAATCCCCCCAAACTGTTCTAGAAAAGAATTTTGAAAAAGACACCTGAACTCCTTGTGTCGAGTTTCCATGGCAATGTTGTGGTAGTGAGAGGGGGGCTACAGGTAGTGGCTTCTGTGAGAAGCTGCTAGAAGCTTCCCCCATGTCAGACACAGCCAATGCTAGCCAGCTCCAAGATGGACCAACCACTGTCCAAGGCTGAGCCCATCAGCAGCGGTGGTAGCCCCTCTGGGATAATATTTAAGAAGCGGGGAAAAAAAAAAAAAAAACAAAAACAAAACAACTGTGCTATTGCATCTAGGAAGAAGAGTGAGAATATGTGAGAGAAACAATTTTGCAGACACCAAGGGCAGTGAGGACGTGCTCCAGGCACCAGAGCAGACCATGGTGAAGACCATGGTGAGACAGGCTGTATCCCTGCAGGCCATGGAGGTCCATGGTGGAGCAGATCTCCACCTGCAGCCTGTGGACGACCCCACACTGGAGCAGGTGGATGCCTGAAGGAGGTTGTGACCCATTGGAGACCCTGTGCTGGAGCAAGCTCCTGGACCTATGGAGAGAGGAGCCCACGCTGGAGCAGGCTTGCTGGCAGGACTTGCAACCCCATGGGGGACCCACGATGAAGCAGTCTGCTCCTGAAGGGCTGCACCCTGTGGAAGGGGTGCTGGAGCAGTTTGTGAAGAACTGCAGCCTGTAGGAAGGTCTCATGTTGGAGAAGTTTGTGGAGGACTGTCTTGTGTGGGAGGGAGCCCATGCTGGAGCAGGGAAAGAGTGTGAGGAGTCCTCCCCCTGAGGAGGAAGGAGTGGCAGAGACAACATGTGATGAAGTGACTGCAACCCCCATGTGCCATCCCCCTGGGTCACTCAGGTGGAAGAGGTAGACAAATCAGGAGTGAAGTTGAGCCTGAGAGGGGTGGGGGGAAGGTGTTTTTAAGATTTGGTTTTATTTCTCATTACCCTTCTCTGATTTGATTGGTAATAAATTAATTTTCCCCAAGTCAAGTCTGTTTTGCCCATGACGGTAATTGCTGAGTGATCTCTCCCTATCCTTATCTCAACCCACAAGCCTTTTGTTACATTTTCTCTTCCCTGTCCAGCGGAGGAGAGGGAGTGATAGAGCAGCTTTGGTGGGCACCTGGGGTCAACTCACCACGCTACTAAGCAAAAGTTCTTGTCCTTTCTATTTCATCATTTGTAATAAGAAAAGACCTTTTTATATTGTTTTACAGACTATAAAAAAAGAACATTTTTTAATGAGTACTTGAGCTGGTCACCCAAAATTTGAGATCCAGGCTTAGAGTCATAGAGCAGACAGGGGACTGGTCATTATTTTAATAAGCCTGTATGAACATCTGCTGTGATGTAAGAACATTTTTTTGCATCAATAGGTGACTTTAAATTGAAATTCATTATCGCAAAAAAAAAAAAAAAAAAGAAAAAAAAAAGAAAAAGAAAGCAAAATTGTGTCCCTAACAAACTGTTAATTGCTTGACCACTTGACCACTTAAACCATCTTTTCAGTGTTGGTAGGAAATATTCTGTAAAAGTCATGCGTATAGGGCAACACAGTCAACTCCAGCTGATAATTATAGCAAGCCAGATGAACTGTGAAAGCCACATTACTGCCTCGCTGAGGCTTGCGGATGCAGAGGACATCTCCATCTCTTACAGTACTGAACAGTAAATGTACTTGAGCTCTTCAGAATTTTTTCAGTTTAACAACATAATCAATCTATCTGATGGTATTCTGTATTTCTCCTTAGGTAAGTAACAAAGGTTGATCTAAATCTTCCTCATCATCATTACTGAAGGTAGGCACTGTGGCTCAAAGTCCTATCAATAGAGAAGTTCATAATTTTAAGGTGGGAATACACCCAATCAATTTTCACATTTAAAAGAAACATTTTCTATAGTCTAAATTAATGAGATTACTTTTTATACTTAATTTGTGGCTACGCGCAAAATGTGTACAATTGTGCAAAAAGCAATTTCAGAATGCAGTATCACCTGAGGCAGAGAAAAGTATGCAAATGTATTTCCTGAAATTCTCCTGCCTCATAGAATACCGCACTTAATGCAATTAGTCTAAATTTTCAAATAACAATGATCTTGGTCATCATTTCTATGCACAGAGATTTCCATAAACTCGTGCATTTTGGCCCCAAACCCCCACAATACCAACACACAAATACTAGATCCTGTGTCAATATTTCAAAATGCTGTATGTTTCCTTTTAACTCAAAATGACTGACTGAATTTCTTTAATATATATTTAAAGATTCCTTTCAGTTTGAAGACCACATTTCAGAGGACAGATCTTATAATATACAGCTCTATTAATGCAGAAACATTTTTTTTATGTGTGTTTACTTCTACAGGCAAACAAATGTATAAATCCATTTAGAATAACTTAAATTATCATTAAATTATATACAAAATAGTAGAATTACAGACAGGGCTTGGAAGTTGGCATGTATCATAAAACTTCCCCTGTAGGCACTTTATATATAGCCACTGTTTTGCCATATAAGTGAATCTAATCTTATAGATTATGACTTTGAAATGCATTTGCCCTTGTTCTGTTTATTTTAGACATGGCCTAAATTTCTTATGATGGAAGAATAATTAATCCTATTTTACATCTGTAGCTTCCAAATGCATAGAATCATGTGACACTTCACTTTTTTCATGACTGGTAATCTTTTAAAAATCTTGACATTTCTTCATTATAAGAAACCAAGTTCCCTGTTAAATATAACATTCCTTTGCTTTTATTACTTGAAAAGGAAATTACTTTTTTTTATGTCTTTCTCCAAAATTTATCTTTACATGGTAAAACACAACTATAATTGTCCATTCCAAGTCCCAAATTAACTACATTTCAGTAGTTCTATATAAAAAAAAAAGTACAGTACATTTCAGGAAGAAATAGTCAACATCATCATAAAAAAATTACCATTACTGATCAACATAAAAAATTATGGATACCGGTAACTTCAGTAACAGTAAAATAAAACAGAGTTATGTTTTCTTTTCTTCTTCCTCTTACCTTTGTTTTACTGTCAAAACAGGTAAATCCCAGAGCAAAGTCAATTGTGAAACACAGTGTATCTCCTTGCCAACTGCACATATATGTTTTAGACTGGAAAAAAAAGGGCATGATTTTTAGGATAACAGCCATCATCATCACTTATCATATACAAATAATATTCTATGCATTTTTTTGTGTGGGAAGACACTCAGCTGGCAATATTGGTACTGGTTTATATTATTACATTTTAAAATTGTCAGAAACTTCTGAATGTAAGTCAGTATCAGATCTATCAGCTAGACACTAACTGGAGATCTATATTTTAAGTCACTCTTCTACAAAATAATACCATATTCTTGGAAACCATCCCTTACAAAATGCAAACCACAACAAAGTCAAATCTGACTATTTCAAACTTTTGGAAAACTGCTTAGACCTGAACAATGAATGACTTCTGACATAATTTCCAGTAAATGTGCAGATATCAGTGCCTAAATGTTTAGTCATTGCAATCTAACTATGAAGAAGCTTTCTGTCTACTTGACTTCTCTGTCTGATTTAACCACTGTAGACATGTTTTTTTATTTTGCAACTTTAATCTGTAAACTTGTGTGACATTCCAGTTTAGCACTATGTTAGTTTATCTTAGTTAATCTAATTTAATAAGAAGAATTAATAACTACCACTCATTAGGTAGTACTGATGCTCGGTATACAGTGCTATATATATGGCAATTCTTTGATCACCTTTCAGTTTACAAAGAAAAAATCTATTTTGTTAATAGAACCCGGAAGTTCTGTTTAAACTTCTGAATAAGCTTTACAGTTAAAAGTCAATTAATATTGTTGTTTACATGTGTTTTTAAGGCTAGCTATCTTGGGTATATAGCGGGTTCTGAAAGCACATGAAAAAGCTTCTGCTGCTGATGTAGTATGAAACAGCTTGATGATATTCACCATTCACAGTTAATGGCAAAAAGCCCATTTCCTTCAGCATGAGTAGACATCAGATCCTGTCTCCAGCCTTTCCTTGCCTCACCTTACCAGCCATTTTTAAAATGATACCCTGGTACCTGATGAAATCTTTGGTTTTGTTTTCTTCCAAGGGAGCATTACTTTGCTCTCATTGATATTTCATAAACCACAACATCGCCTCAAACGTAGACATTTGTTTACATTAAATTTTTGTATCTGGGTAGTTTCTTTAAATTCAAAAAAATGGTTTTAACACAAGAATGGCCTAAGGGAGATTGAAAGCATTAATAAACCTGCTTAAGTTGAAAATTGTCTTTGTAATTTTTTTTTAAAGATTTTCAGTATAATCTAAAACTTCTGCATTTAGTAATTGCAAAGGTTGACTCATTCCACTATTAATAAAAAAATATTTAGTTATATTAAAATAAGCATTTCTAAATTCCAGATATGACATTATTTAAAGGATTTTGAAAGGGCTGGGAATTAAATTAATTTATTAGTATAGATTAGTATTATAATCAGCTCAACAATGACAGAGATGTATATTATTTCTGAATAAACTATTTTGCTCATTGATGTTCAAAGATCATATTATTTGGCATTTAAAAAGATTTCAGTGATTGATATTCAATTAGAACAACATTTAAATATCCCTACGTTTTATTCAGTAATTACAAGGTGGCATTAAGCAGCAGTCATAATTTATTCTCCATTATTTTCCAATTAAAAAGGTTATAATAGCTGAGCTCTGACTCAGCAAAGCAATTTTTAAAACATATTAAATTAGATTCCCCCAATGGGTAAGCATCTAATTGCTCAGCCACAAATGGTGAATACTAAAATGAATTATGCACAAATAATTAGCCTGTAGTATTTTACAAATATTTAATATTTGCAAATAATGGAACTGCTTTGGAAATTATTTGCAGACAAATACTAGAGACAAACAGAACATGCTGCATTTTCACTGTGATAAACATTACGAATATGTATATATAAGGTTTATACTTATATAAACTAATGGTGTTTTCATTATGACAGAATTAGTTTGGGTTTTGCCATATAAATTTAAAATCCTGCCTTTGGCATTTTCTCAGTGGCTTTGAACAGGTTCTCAGGCAGCACTGTGATAAGAAACCCCATCTCCACTCATTAGCTCTAGTACAGAGCACTGTCCCTTTTCATTCTTGCCTTTGGAATAAGCTTCCTGTATGTTTGCAATTGTGTGATCCCCTTGGTCATCTACAACAATTGTCTACATGGAAGCTTAAAATAAAAAATCTAGTCTTAGCTGTCTTTTTGTGAATTTTTCAGAAAATAAAATAGCACTGCATATTAGCCAGCTTGAGAACTCAGTTTGAGCAACAGAGAGGAAAAGAATAGGTTATTTAAAAAACCTTCTATACCAATCGGAAGTTATATTTTTCTGGGCTAAAATATTTTCCAGTCATACAACTATACCCAAATAGCCACATGAATTTAAATAGTTTATACATGTATGAAAATTCAAATCATTAGCAACTGTTGTACAGTGACCATCTTTGGCTTGCACTGTTCCAGACAAGATGTAAAAGTTTTTCCAGCTCTAGACTTGGTGATTCTGAACTTGATGGGGATGTAGACTGGTAGTTTATTCCTGATGAGATTCTTTAGTCAAAGTATTATGAATTTAGCTGTTAAAAGGAAGGCCTCATATCTGAACTGCAACAGCTAAGAAAATTGTAGAACAATTATTTAATGTTTTCCAAGCAATAGTGAAATGATCTCTAGAATAATTATTTGTAATAAAAGACAACTGCAAAACTATTATCTGTGTAATTGTTCAGATATCAGTATCTCAATGCATATACCTTTAACTTATAAAAAGATCATTAAGTTGATAATATCACTGTCCAAACATCAGAAGAGCAGTGTTTCTGACTAATTCATAGGAGGAAATTCTTAGACTTCCTGTTCTGAAGCATGGCACTGGTCTATCTTTGGCACTGGTGTCTGTTCTCCCAGACATTGAGAGGGCTTAATAGTTATAATAACTACACATATATGCTCTATCTTTTTCATAGACATAGAGATTTCCCAGAAACAATACAGCTTTGATCTCTCCTCCTCGTTTAGCAGACTGTCCTAGGATCCCAGAGGACCTGCCCTCCTGATGGCAGTTTCCACTGGAGCTATTCTGTAGAACCGATGGATGTTCCAGCTGCTTCTTCGGGCAGACATGTGGTGGCCAGCATGACACTATCATGCTAGCATGTACTGTAAATGTAGGCAATATCATGCAATGCTAAGATTATTATGCACTAATTAGCATTATCTCACTTACTGGCAATACCAGTCTTGAGCACATGTACTCTCTGCCTACCTTGTCCACACTGGGTCCCTTTCACTGGAGCAGCTCATGTGAGAGTAAGCAAGCCTCTTTGCTCCAAAAGCAGAAGGGGAAGGTTAAAAGCAGACCACAGTATTTCCTTCTTGCTAATGAAATTCCTGCCTCGCCTCAGCAGATTGCTGATACAAAGCTGGACTCTTTTCTGTGCACAAACTGCAGAGGACCAAGATTCCTAGAGGGGCGTAAGAAGTCTGGATAGGGTAGAGAGTTAGGAAAAAGAGAGTCCTGGGAGCTAAATGATGGGAAAAGTGGTTCTGCATCTAGGATCAGGAGGTGTCAGCGAGAGTGTGCAAGTACCCTTCTACTGCAGCCTTCTGAATTAAATTAAGTCCCTACATTTACCCTAGGGCAAGATTGCAGCCCCCTAACAAGGTCACATTAGCTGGTCAGTAGTTTGTCTCTCACTCCCATCTGCAAAACTCTCGCCACTTCCATCCCAGCATGATCCTACAGTTAACTAATCTTGTGAGGCTTGGGGAACTTTGTATGTACTGGTTTTGTTGTTGTTGTTGCTATATACATCAATTAATATCTTCCATGACTATGTACACATCTTGGAATCTGCAGAAGGTAATTAGCATTGAAGGCTTTGGTTAATTACCTCTTAATGGAAAAAACAGAAAGGCTTCTTTCATTCTTATCTGCCATCAGTTTTTACAACAGGGAGAGGACAAGAGACAGGTTGCTTCAGTACTCTAAAACAGACTGATGTAGGATTCTGTCCAACAATGAGAAGAGACTTTACAAATATGCTCAATGACAGGCCAATTAATTTCAAAACAAGCTCTTATGATCACCAGTTATGATGACCCTTTCCCTCAGAAGGAGGGAATGCATTTGTAAACAGACCACTAACCTAACAAGAAGGGCTTTAAACTCGGTTCATGGGTGTTAGGTACACAAGTCAAGAGATGAGTAAATGCTAAAACTGGAGAATGGGAAAAGACTACAAGAGTGACTTTCTTATTTCCACTCATAGAAGAGGGCGTAAATATACCTCAAATATCTGTACAGTGAGAGACAGAGCCTGGGCAACAAACAGAAAGGGGGACCATTTCATGTGTAGTCACTGGCCTGTGACATGGTTGGAAACACAAAGACTTGGTGGGCAATAGGCACCATTGCTGCCCAGACACAGGCTGCTTAGGAAGGAGAGGCAAGGAAGAAAAAGAGAACCCCTCCTCTTTTTTAGTTGCCTTCTATGTGTAGGGGTTCTTGGCTACACAGAGCTGTAGTATGAAGCCAGAAGGAAGTCAGCATGCCCACCAGATCAGAGGCCTTCTGATTTTGTCACAGACTTGTGGGTCTCCCAGGTATGCCGAAGCGATAAGAAAGTTTGGTTGCTTCAGGAGCTGTCCAGTTCAAAGAATTCTAAATAAATCCGGACATGCAACAGATTTTTGTGGCTACTGGAATATGAGCTTATTGAAATGTTTTAGTTGGGGGACCTGAATTGCCAAAGTTCTGTCACAGGTGTCCAGTGTAGCACCTATGGATTTTTTTCAAGACATACAATCTTTTAACATTACTCTGATGTGGGATTGTATTGTGTCCAAGAAATAGGAGCTCCACCTGTTTATGCTTTTCGGTATCATTTTTAAAAATCATGATTACTAATAAAGCCTGTCAATTGAGATGTTACATTCTAAGATCATCAACAAAAAATCATAGTAAAAAAATACCATTTTATATAATTTTTAAAGAATCAGGGTGGTCAGTTACCAGTCTTTTCAGTCAGTATCTCTTTT